TGCCGCTGGGAGAGCTCTATTTCCCGTGGAACTTCAGAGTTAGTTTAGTGAAAACAACTGGAATGTCATTTGCTTCAATCCCTTGTCATTAACACCTCTCAGATGTCTTTTCCTTCCTATCCATTCCAATGAAAAGTAGGAGTCCCTCTGAGCAGAACTGTCCTGTGGAAATGACACAATGGGGACACTGGTGCTGCCAATAGCTTTTGTGTCAGGGTCAGCAAGTGCTTTAGAAACTGTACATGGGTAAATATGTTTGCTGTTTTTCCTCTGTTTTGCAGCTTATGTAGCAGAGATTTGAACAAGTTCAAGAAAAGCCTCTGAATGTAATCGAATAGCATTGCTGGAAGTTCACATTGGTTCTCTCAGCACTCTGCTGGCTAACTGTGCAGGTCATGCATTTCTGCAAGCAGAGGTGGTGCTTCTCATAATGTAATTTTTGGCACCGTGTTGGAACACCAAGTTAATGCTGACTCTGCAGGCTGTGCTGCTAATGGTACTTTGTCATGCCTGTGTGCCTTTCCTCCATTGGGGTTACTGAACAAATCTGGTGCTGCTTTGCTTAGGGAGTTTAAGAACATAAAATAAAGTTGACTAGTTAGAAACAAAAATCTTCCTCAATGAAACTTTGTGGAGAGATGATTTATCTGATAGGGAAAGTGATGTTGCTTAATTGTTTCTCTCTATAAGACTCTGTCCCTGATGTTGTTGTGGTTTTTTTGACTGCAGAATATACAAAGATGGCTTACAACTTGGAGAGGTGTTTCCACCGAGCAATGATGAAGCACTTCCCTGGGGAAGATGGAGACACAGATGAGGAGTTCTGGATCAGAGAAGATGGGAGACGAGAGAAGAGGAGCCGGCGGAGTGGCCGCTCCAGCACCGGCAATGTTTGGACTCGGTCACGAGATCCAGATGGACCAGGCAAGAGGCAGCAACGCTTGGAAAATGGAGGAAAACCTCCACCATATCGAGCTACTTCCAGGGCTTCTGCTTCTTCGTCCTCTTCCTCCTCCTCCTCCTCCTTCTCCTCATCCTCTGCAGAGGATCCCAGTGGCAACCCGATGCAGCCTCCCAGAGAAGTGGGCCCTTCCAACGGGCGAGGTTTCCCTCGCTCTCTGCAGTACGGTGGGATGCCCAGCCCTGTGCCACATCCCAGCCAGATGGTAAGGAGCAGTGTGTGCTGTTCTTCACCCGTCGTGCCTGTGAAGGGAAGATGGTCAAGGGGAGTGAGGCTGTCTACTGTGAAATCCCTGCTGGGTGGCAAGAACATTTTCCCAGAGATTTAAGGGTCAGGACTATGGTTTCTGCAGCTGAAGCTTTTCAGACTTTAGACTTAAAGTTTTGGTCTTTGCCAGACTAGCTGGGAACAATCTCCTCTAACGTTTTCCATGGCCAGCAAGTCCCTGTGTAATCTTGTGCCAGCCCTGGCTCCCTCAGTTCTCTCCATGGAGAGTTATCTTGTGCATGGAAAGCCATCATATTTCCTCTCTTAAACTCCAGTTTATGATGCTGAACAAGCTGGTCTTCTTTTGTCTCAATTGTTCACAGATGTTTGGTAACTTTGTGCCATCTGTGTACTACTGCATTTCATGCCTTGACTATTTATAAAAGCAGTAAACGAAATCAAACACAAGGCCACCCTGAACTGCAGCAGTGACCTCCGTTTAGCCCAGAATTTCTTCTCTGAATGCCACCTATTCTGCCTTCCCTCTAGGCTGTTCCTCACCCAACCTTCACTGCCTTTTCCATTGTAACCGGAGATGTCTTGTGGTGTATCATCTGCTCGTCTGAGATCCAGGCGACGTCCTCACCCTTTTAGCTAGAGATCAAGCAAAATTTTTAGAGCAATTCTTGTGATGCAGATCATCACAGTAGGCAGTAGGAGAGCCGGAGGCAATGAAAATTTTGAGGGAAATCAGCACATTTGCCAGTCCTTCTGCTTGTGTATTCTTGTAGTCCACTCCCCTCCTTGGAGGGAACCACTGCCCCCTGCAGTCTTCTTCCTTGTTCCCAAGTGATTGGGTGGGCAAGTGAGTGTATTGCAGCCATGAGAGCAGGGCATGTGGCTGGGGTGTGAGAGAGTGGCTTTGGCAAGGGAGCTGTGTCATCTCATAGGAAAGAGACTACAGGGTTTTTATGGTACCTCCAAAAAGCCCGTCTGCCCATCTGTGTGTTTCCTCCACCCTTGGTTTCCCCTCACATGCAGCAGCTCTGCTGCTTTCCTGCACTTCACAAATTGTTTTATTTCTCCCTCCCACACCCTTCCCCACCCCCCAGAGACCAGCCGTGCCAGGAACGTTTGGTGCCCTGCGTGGATCAGATCCCACGAAACTCTACAGCTCGCCGCGCGTGCCCGAGCCCCACCCTGGGGACCCAGTCCAGCAACACCAGCACTTTGCCATGCAGGTAAGAAGCACCGCGGCCAAAGGATCTGGCACCCCGAGACCTACAGGTCTCCTCTGCTCCTTGGTGTGATGGCTCTCACCGAGTCCCACCCCCTCTCTCTGTCTCTCCCTCCTCCCCAGCCGGCCGTGGGACTGAGCGAGCACCGCGGGCACAGGCTGCCCGCCCCGGAGAAGCAGGCATGTGCGGGAGCAGCCCACGTCGCCGGCCTCCGCCCCCGGCCCAGTGGTTTT